GGAAGAGCTGCGTACAGGGTAAATGTGTTAGCAAAGTAAGAGTGAAAAACTGACCAAGTGCATTTGAGGGTAAGATTTACCTCAGCGCTGCAATTGATCATGGGGCTGAGGAAGCCCTCATGTATCCCCCGCAGCTTATCTCGATGTTCAGCAGGGACGACCCGGGCCATGGCTTCCCGCAAGGCCTTCCTGTCCGCCCCAGTAAGGGACTGGCCGGGCAGCTTCATTTGTAGCTCCTCTACAATGTCTGTATGCGGACGCAAAGAGTTTAATTTAAGCTCAGTAAAAAAAAAAGAAACGAAATAGAAAATTCAAAATTACTCGGACTGACCGTCAGAGAAGCTTGGAGGGGTAGGAAAGTTGAAAGTGAATGGCGGGGGCGACACAGGCTCGTCACCCTCTTCCCCCGTCCGGCCAGGCTGGTCGCCGACCGAATGAGTGGCTTCAAGCCAATCAGATTCATTGACTCTTTAAACGGGCGGAGTCAATTCTGGCCCAGTCGGTTTTGCCAGGGTCGACTTACCCCTATCGTCCGATTTCTCGGACCTAACATGACCCGGCGTGGTGGCCGGATCTATGGACTTGGAGGCCCCGCTATCACTCAGCCGGGGTTGTTCTCCTTTGGACTACTTAGAGGCAGTCCGTGACGCCGCCTTGGCCGTAGAAGTGGAAGTGGTCTTGGACGCGACCGTCTTCCTTTGTTTGGACGCCTTGCCATCCTTGTCCGTCTTGGATCCAGGGGACGACTGCTTCCGTTTGGACCTAGGGGTTGGAGTGGCCAGCTGTAGAGGCAAAGGTTAGCAAAAAGGGAGCAAGATAATATAATTGATAGGCCGTGCCAAGTTAGGAAGAAGGTCTCTTCCGTAATGCATACACGGACGAAAGGAAGAAATCAAGATGGATATACTTACTTCTTTAGATTGCTCGTACAGCTTCTGGCGAGCCTTGTACCGAGCTAAGTCAATCTCCGTCATGTTGACCTCCCCTTTCTGCTCTGGGTCAAGCATCTTGTACGCCTCAGCTGAAAGAGAAAAGGAAAGTGTTAGAAAATTCTTCAAACTCAAATAATCTGTATATGTATATGTGTCCGTGCGTCCACCTTGGGGCAGGTTCTTGTACAGGCCATAGGCGGACATAAATGTGGGATCCCGCAGCCAGCTGGATAAAGGGACCCAATTACTTGGGACGCGCTCAGTTTTGCCGTTCCTTCTCACCCGCTTAACTTTGAAATATTCAAGATGGTACTCCTAGCAAGGGTGGACGGGTGGCTTATCAGGCTTGAGGTCCCCGCGTCCAAGTTGAATTGGCTCAGCATTGAACCGATTCATCCGCAAGTTAAGTTCAAAATCTTTGGTCTTGATGTGGTAGAATCGGTGCTTCCAGTCACGCCACTTAGAGATGCGGTCCACCACCATCATGTAGTCTCTAGTGGTGCTCAAGATGAACCAGCCGTCCGTATCCGCGTCCAGCTTAGTCAGTGTGTGCATCTCACAGAAAACTGCAAAGTCTGGCTTGAAGCCTTTGCAGATGCACGTCACCAAGTACCCAAAAATGTTCAACCAGCTGTTTGGCATCAGATGGAAGAGGGCTATGTCATACTCGTCCAAAATCGTGCGGACGAAAGGATGAAGGGGGAAGCGGAGTCCTACGTCTAAGGTCGCCCTGTAGACGCTAAAGGATCTTTGGCGCGACCTCTCTTCCTCCCAAGCGGCCAGAGCGCGGGATTTCCTTGGAGGCTGGATTTCGAATCCCTCCCCAAGGTGGAGAAATGCCTTGTATTCCTCAAATTTGTAGTTCAGGTAGACCAAGGCTGTGCTACCCACCGTACAGGCGAACAGATCCTTGAAGTTGTCAATATTGGCAACATCCTCCTCGATCACCTCTTCGCCTCCAGCGGCCGCCGCTTCGCCCTCGGCCGCATTCTCAACCTCATCCTCTTCTCGCTGAGGAATGCTCCTAAACTCGGAAGACAGCACTCTGTCCAGATCGGCTGCCTCCGCTGAGCTGCGGCTCCTAGAACTATGGCCGCCTCGGGGAGAGACAATATCCTCAAGGGGCCTTTTGCCTTTATCTTTGGCACCGGCCGCCTGACTCCCCGTAGGAGGGGATTTGCGAGGGGGCAAGTCGGACGGTTCAATAATTGAGACCCCTGTTCTTGGTCTGTCCGACCTGCCATATCGGAGATAGAGGTCTGAGGGGGTTGGGACGGACGTATCAGCGTCCGCCCGAGAAGAGGAAGGAGGTCCTTCACAGAGTAGCAACTCGGCCCCATCCATGACCGAGTTGGCATATTGGGGGAACCTCAACTCCGGAGTTCGCCCGGACGTTCCCCCTGTAGTAGAAGCGCCTTGAGTTCTTTGGCGCTCCTCGAGTGAAGAAGTTACTTCTACGGCCGAGCAGTGAGTGCCTGTGGAAGCGGTCGTAGGAGTGGAAGAAGGGGTCTCTAAGTTGGCATTATTTGGGTCATATGGAGGCCTAGGGTTCACCAGACTTCCGTCTGGATTTCAGGCCACATAAAGATCATGCGTCTTCCTTGTCCGTGCCATGTTCGACTACAGGGTCAGAGAAGAATGGGCGGATGTGAGTTGGTACGCACTAGAAATGGACCCATTCCATGAAGGAGACAACTCGTCTCCGTCCACTCTAGACTCCTCAGTCCCAGGCGAACGGGCGGCCTCATGAGGAGAAACGGACGAAGCCGAGTGTTGAGCCAGATTTTAAATGAACAAAGAAATAAAAATGCAAAGAAAAGAAAGAAGGCGGCCTACCTCTGTACGTGTTGAAAACTTGGAAGCCTTGAAAGTTGATCGGAAAACTCAACAAAAGTGCCCGGAAAACTCAAACGCACGGCGGAGCTCTCGAAAATTCAAAGAAAAACTCACTTTCTCTCTCTAGAAGCTCTGACTTCTCTCTAGAGAATGTAAAGTTACAAAGTGCCAAAATGAAGTCAAACCCCTTGTATATATAGGCAAAATTTATGGGGGTAAGACAGTAAATTCATCTTTCCCGCCTAAACAAAGCTGAACGGTTATAATTTGAAAAGGTGACCTAGAATTTGGAGGGACAAGGAGCAACTCCGTTAAATTAGGCGGAAAAGATGACGACCTAATAAACGGCGCGTCCAAAGGGATGTTGGCAGAGCTAAAGCTCCCTTCGCAATGGCAAGACGGCTGCATCTCCTAAAAGCGAGACGGCCTACTTTTGTCCGCGCCCTCTGTATAGATAGACAGAGGGTGACAGAAAACTGACAAAACCCTAATACGCTTGTACGCACCAAGGCTATTTGAGATCAGAGGAGTCGACCTGTAAGCGTACGAGCCACCCTTCTGAGGGGCAAATGTTGAGGGTAAAAATACCTCGTATACGTGAACCAATCCCATAGTGACACGTGGCCCAGTTATAGGGTGACACGTGTCACCATGGGAAGATGCCACGCAATTCAGAGCCCTTAAGGTCTCAGGCCAATCTCGTAGCGACACGTGACCCAGTCAGAGGGTGACAAGTGTCGTCATGAGAAGATGCCATGTGTTTAGGGCATGTGTTCCCTCTTTAATCAGCACACCAAAAATCCCTAATAACGTCAGGGCCCAAATCCCGAGAGATAGCAATGAAAGCCGTAAAACGGCGCCCTCAGGGTAACACTTGGCATTCACTGATTGCGTAGCCAATCACGCCACGCCAATCTAGGGTACAAACCCTAAAAAGGGGCACGAGTCCCACCCCTATAAATACCCCAATCATTTATGATGGGAGGGGGATTTTTTTTTAAAAAAAATGACATTTATATACACAACAGAGCATAAAATAGCTCCAACTTCTCTTTACTTTCTCTCTCTAGTCTTTTCCGTTCTGATTGCTAACTTAATCGTCGGAGGCGAATATTCCGTTTACCGGAATATTCGTTATTTTGTAGGTAGGACCGTCTCGTTGCCAGGAGAGCGTGACCAGTATCCGAGGAAATCCAAAAAACACCCGAAACAAAACTCAAAATCAATTGATTCTTAATGTATAATACTTTGAATATGTAAAGTTTGAATTTTTTTTTTTTTTTTTAAACAAGCTAAGCTCAGATATATTAATTAGCAACAATACGGTCCATAAGTACATAAGGGGCAACCTCTTGGGGACAACGATTAACCCAAGATTGCTCGGTACCAAACGGAATAAGCTTAGCAAGATAATGCGCGACACAATTGCGGTCACGATTAACATGAGACCACGACACAGATTTAAACTTGGAGCACATGAGAATAATATCGCCAAGGATTTTATCAATTTTATATAACTGAATATCTGTTTTGAGGTTGCTAATTTGAAATGATTACTCTAAATTTAACTTAAATCATTATATACTTCGTATGAATTGTGAGCTTATTGAATTTACAAGCTTGGAGGCTCTTATTAGCTTTGCATAGAGCATATTGAAATAAGACAAGATAAGGTGAAAATAATATAATCTGATTTCACTTTGATTTTGCTAATACTATTTAATATTTTGCCCAAGAATTAGCTTTCCCGCTTGTAGCACTTTAAATTTTGATTCCTAAAGAGTCAATACCTTAGTTTTCATTTCATAGAGTGTAGTTTTGATATAAGGCTCACTTATTGATCAAAAAAGATTAATCGATACATTAATGACTTCAAAAGAAATAATGATACACTCTCAAGATCATTATGATATAATTATTTGTTTTTAACTTCAATCTCTAGACACTCATCATTTCATCAATCAGTATGCTCACTATCTATGCAGTTTAACATTCCTCTAATTTCTTTCTTTCTTTCTTTCTTTCTTTTTTTTTTTTTTTTTTTAAGAAAAACATTCCTCTAATTTAATCATTTTGGATAGCTCAAAGCTTCTTATTAACAAAGAATGAGGTCAAAAGCAATTATACATACTTTATTACTTTGGTCCAAGAGATGTTGACATCAATTCATGAGAGCAACAAATATCTGATATTTAACACAAGATATTATTACAATTTTTTATTTTATTTTTTTTAAGAAAATACAAATTGTAAGTACACAAAATGAAAGGCTCAGTTTTTCTGAAAAACAAAACATTGAAGTTCATCAATTAATTAAAAAAAAAAGAGAAAAAGAAAAAGAAAAAGAAAAATGGAGCTAGCTTCACCATGTTGTTCTAATTTTCCTTCAATAATCAGCATCAACAAATCCAAGTTCTCTATGTTGTGTCGTCGTTTAAGCTTGCCTTCATCATCTTCTTCTTCATTGCTTCTAACCTCTGTATGTGTTCCATGAACCCATTCTTTTTTTTTTTTTGTTATGTTATTGAGAAAAATTTTAAAATGTTTACTGGGAATTTTTTGTTGAAATTTATATCTTGAAGTTGAGTAAACATTGGCATTCATAGACAAGTATATATATATGTGACAGTTAACATAACATCATGGCAATTTGATTATTGTTATGAGTTTTTGCAAGATTTGGTGGATTTTTCACTTGTAATTTGTGAAGTTAGTTGCTTGCAATAGCATTATTTGTGCTTTTATAGTAGAACTACATGCCGAATTAGACCTTTATCTAGACGGATATTTCTAAATAATAGGTCACTTTCTAAATTTAATATGGAGTACTTAAAGTTTGAGCTAAATGATATACTTAAAACTTCGCAAGAATGAGAATAGAAGTATGGTGGAAGAAGTTTACTTAGTGAAATATTGGTTAGTAAATCACTTTTGTCGAAAATTTCCAATTAAATGGCATACTAAACTTTCTTCTATCTATTAACATTGGTTAACAAAGTACATGCAACATCAGTTTCTTAACTGTGATGCTTCAGTTTGATTACAGAAAAGATGCAATTCAGCATCCAAGAAACGCGTCGTACCATCTTTCATACAAAAGAAGACATCAAGCTCAGTAGTATGTTGCAGCCAACTTAAGGTGGAAGATGACATAGATAATGCAGAGGCATGCGAGTTGGTGAATGGAGCAGAACTTGAAATAGGAGATGGCAACGATACAATTCGTGCCTCTCTCTTCCAGGCCGTCAAGAACAACAATGGAGCTGGCATTCTACTCTTGACAGACATATTTGGCTTTGAGGATTCTTACACCAGAGATTTTGCCTATCGCGTTGCTTGCAACGGCTACAAGTACGTATGTTTCCTTATTGTTGGTTTTCCTGTCTGAATGAAACTAAGCAATACAACATTGCTGAATGTAGCATGTATATAGATGTCATAGGAGCATGTGGTGCTGAGGCTTAGTGTCGTCTGTGGTTTTAACTAATAAGACAGTGAAATCGCTAGCTATTCGCCTATGCTAACATAAACACTGGAGGAAATGACTATGTTTGGAACTGCAATATCAAACTGATTATGGACTCTATTATTAAATTCAGAGCACCACAATAAATGTTATATGACTTTGAGTGTGTTTGAAACTGCAGTGTATTAGTGCCTGATCTTTTCCGTGGTGATCCATGGTCCAAGGACCAATCACAAGCTCAATTGGAGCAGTGGCTAGCCAAACATGATCCCAGCAGGATAGCAGCAGACATTGCAACAGCAACCAAATGGATGGTCGATGAGTTTATGGCAGCTGATTCTTCTAGAAAGCTTGGCATAATAGGATTCTGTTATGGAGGTGGCCGAGTACTAGACGTGCTAGCCAGAGACCAAGACTCTGTTTTTGACACTGGTGTTTCTTTCTATGGAACACGAATGAATTTATCTACTGCTTCCAATGTGAAGGTACCAGTTCTGTTTGTAACAGGAGATAATGACCCTCTTTGTCAGGTTAGCATCCTCAATGAATTTGGGAACGTAATCGGGAACAACTCAAAGGTAATTGTTTTTGAAGGTAGAGGACATGGATTTGTCCACAGACCAGAAACTCCAGAAGAAGATGCAGACGCAGAGGAAGCTTTCATGATCATGAGAAATTGGCTACAAAATCAGTTGCTAGAATAGGTCTGAGTTGTCTACTGTTTAAATAGTTGCGTTGAGCTATCTGACGGTGTCAATGAAGTAAAAGAATACATCGACCCAAGGGTTCTATGAACCCTAAAAGGCAGCACCATGTACTTGGATCTCCAAACGAATAAGAAATGCCTGTCAACTAGAAAGATTTTATTTTATGTGCTGAGCACATTAGCTATAGAATTTATTTTTTCTTTCTTTTCAATTTCCATTCTCCTGATTGGAACTCCAAATCACGGTAACATTACAAGACAAAAAGGAATTGTTTCATGAAAACTTTGCAGTACATTAAGGGTACAATGACCCATCAAAACAATTTTCGGCACTACAATAGGATAACAGTTATGTAAAGTGAACTCAAGTAAGAAGCCCTTCTCACTTGTTCCTCGGACATATGTAACCAACTCAAAGTCACTCTTGCACATCCTGTATAGAGAAGATATTAATTAATATGGGAGCTGAAAAACTCAAAAGGATCTGAAAACTCAAATGAATTCACAAAACAAAGATTGTTATGAAAGAAATAACTGAGCAGATTTTGGATTGGCATAGTTGTATATAAATAAGGCTGCTTGTTATGAGAGGAATTCCTATTGTATACTACTTCATATCTATAAAAAGACACCAAAGTACATTGCCCAAAAACATAATCAGAATCTTTGTTAATTCTGCAGTTCAAATTACAAGTCCAAAGTGAAGTCACATCAATGATTAATTAGAAAATAGAGATAAAGGAAGAGAACAAGGGTAAAACTTAAAAAATAGATCAAAGGCCTTCATGAAAATTCTATTTAGACCACTTAAACGTTTGAAAACAGGAAACCAAAAAAGTGAAAAGCTAACATCGTGAAGCAGATGAGCAGCTTGAAAACTGCATCTGCTCAAAAGTAAGAGTCAAGAGCAGCATAGTGAATCATCAATCATGGGCCAAGGTTTTCTAAGGAGCATGTATTATTTGCTTTTTAATCATTCCAATCAACTCCAGAGTTCTTCCAGTCGCCCTCTTGATTTTAAATTTTAGATCTTTCAACTATAGTCCCAAGCATATCAGTGATATCACTCTCTCCACTAGTTTGAGTAGTTTCTCATAAGATGAAACCCAAGCATGAAAAGCATTGAGCCATCTTCACTTATATAATGAGCTTCTCTCTTCACTAGCCTCCAAATAGATAAAACCAACTAAGGAACCTAGGGAGTCTCTCACATCTACATAGCTATTACATAAATAATCTAAGATCGAATAACTGATGACAAGATCTCAGACCCATCACATACCAGATTACAATGAAAAAGAGAGACATCTGACCAGTCGGAATCTCACACATCTACATCGCGCTTACACTAATGGTCAAATCTACATCAAATTAAATAGCAGAAAGCAAAATTTCAGAGCCAGCACGTATCAGGTAACCAATGAAAGAGGGAGAAATCTGACTAGCAGAGGTCTTTCATATGCAGTGACACTTCCAAAATTAAATGAGACCATTCATACCTCTTTAACCCCAGGAAAAACAAACCAAGCAGGAGAGAGCTGTACTAAGAGCACACAATCCTACTGCTCCCTGTTAGCACATTAATAATACTAGTTTCCTACATTGATAATCTCATATATTCATGCACATCATAGTGCGCACAATTCCAAGATAATTTCAGCAAATATTGGAATAGGTACAGCTCAAGATAAATACTCATCCGTATAGAGTCAGTCAACTAGCAGAATCATTCCTTTGCCAACAATAATCATTACTCAAGTAAGCTTAGTTTTAGTTCGCTATAAAATTAGAACATTTCTATCCATAGTAAAACTTGTGAGATAATGTTCCCTGTCCATATCCTCTAAAATTCTTTCCAGCTACTCTATAGAATCCTGAATTTGACATTAAAAATCGTACTAGATTTGGTCGATCCCATCAGCTACTCTGTGACATACTTGTATACCATAGACAAACACTTTTCAACTAAAGTTGTCATTACATTATGTAACTCCAATGAAATGAGAGCCAACCCACTATCTCTTCAATCAAGGCCATACCATGAAAAGTATCAAAGTCATCTTCGCTATCACAACACTTCAGCCAGGAACTATATGTGCTCATCCATCAAACATAGTCTCGAGTCTATTTGTTTAAACCACATAATGTGTACCCCATATACTAAGCATAATCCAGTCTCATGAAAATCAAAGTCATTCTCTCTTGAAAGCTCACATAATTTATTTAAAAGTATTTAGCAACTTAAGTTTTTTCATATACAAACAAATATTGATTTTCTGACCTTATAAAGATCAAGCTAATGTTAACCTATTCTGCATAGCCTCCAATTATCCAATCAGATACAAAGTAAATGCTTTCAATACAATAGTATACAAACAAAAGGAGATTTACTTACCTGAGAAACAGGGGAGTCAGATATGTTTGAAGACCTCAAATTTGCTGTGGGGCTGTCAAACAATCTAGAACAGTCCGAATATGCAGATCCAAGACCCACTCCAGCACCAAAAGCCACAGAAGCCCAACGAGTCACAGGACTCCCTAATTGAAAAAAACAGCACAATCTAATATCAATGCCTAATAGTCACTCAACATCACGAAAACGGGGAAATGAATAGTGCATGATGACTCTGGAAATAACGCGAACACTAACAAACATACAAACACTTTTACTTCATATTAAATCAATGCTACAGCTTCAATTGCCGCAATGCCATCCATCACATATTCACTTCCTATCTACTTTTAAGAGACAATTCTTCCAATTTTAAGTATATATACAAGTAATACAACACAAGCAAAACCCTCAACACCAGCCAAAAATAGGAAGCACCAACATCGGCATCAGTATAGGAGATTACTAGACCACTGCAGCATCTTCATCAATCCCCATTTCCTCTATATCAAAGAATTTATTACTGCACTTATCCATTAACACAATCGATTATTACACATCACTGTTGACCTAATATCACCTTCACCAAAAAATTCAACAATTTTCAACACAATCTCAACTTCAAAGCCCTAAAAATCCGTTGCAACCCAACAAAATGCCCTAAAATCGAAATCCCAGAACACCCCATCAACCCAAAACCAAATTTCCACATTACCCAACAAAAAACCAACACAAACAATAACAAATCTAAGAAATTATCATCAAAAACATAAAACTGCGCAGCTCATTTGCATCATTAGCACAATTCATTCAAAATAAAAGTATAATTGAAATAGACATAAATAAAGGGGGCAGGAAATTAAAGGAAAAGGAGACACTAACGGAAGAGAAGAAGGCCGGAAAAAGCGCCGGCAACGGAGGAGTAAACAAAGCGGCGAAGAGATAGATCAAGACAAGCATCCCATTTGGCATCCAAGTCGTATTCTTTTCTATTTTCCGCCATTTTTGTTCTTCAACTTTTGGTTGTTGATGAGTCTTAATAAGCAGATTGTGATATTGGTATTGCCGATTTGCTACTCCTTTGCTTTCGTCGTCGTCTTCTTCTTCTGATGAGAATTTGAGATGATTCTTCGGATTTTCTGGGTGATTGATAGAGTAAACAAGGGTACCAGATGATTTTCAGTCTTTTGTGATTTCGGGCCTTTGTGGTTTTTGTCTTCAATGATTTATGGCCCAATTTGTTTGGGTCATGATATTTATGTACTTGCCAAAAGTGATTCATGCTTCAAATTTGATTGCCCAACTTGGATCACTATTGTGGCCAAAAACATAAACCCTAAATTGATCCAATATGACCTTAAAGCATGATTAATCTGATTAACGATAATATGATCACCAATGAAACATGATCTAGGAGATCTTATACGAATTATACCACTTATCACGTATAATAATTGCAATAAGTGTCAGCTAGCTTATAGAGCCCAAAATGAGCCAAAGTGTAAAATATTGCACATACGAGGCCCTATTTGGTTTGATGTAAAATGTTTTCATGGAAAATGAATTTTCCATTTTTTCCCATTTTCCTTTGTTTGGTTTGTTAAGGAGTGGAAAACAATTTTTCAAGGGTGGAAAATTTCATCCTTAATGGTGGAAAACATTTTCCTTCCAAAAACAAGGGAAGCCACATTTTCCTCTCTCCTCCTTACCTCTTTTTTTACTTCCCTCTCATTCATCCTTACACTTCCACTCTTATTTTTTTATTTTTCTTGGACTAATCTTATATGCAACCAAACAAAGGAAAACTAATTTGCAATTGTGTTTTTCCTTGAAAATATGTTTCCAATGAAAACTAATTTTCCATTGAAAATATTTTACATTAAACCAAACGGGGCCGTAATTTAACCGTGTGTATGTTAGGATATCATCTCTTGAGTGCGTGGTATGTAACTATACATTCACCAATGAGGCATTCTATTTAGTGTCTAATTGGAAAAGGGATTTTTTTTTATTTTTTTTTTTTACAGGAAATATGTTTTTCAATTTGGTGAGTGCATTATTTGTAATTAAATATTAGATGAGAGTGAATATCACACGGCGGGGTCTAATACATGACGACATCAACAACACAATAGTAAAATGCTAATAAACTAAAATGGTGTAATTATTTCAAAACATACAGAGTATATAATATATATCACAACCCTCATTAACCGCTTTGAATAATAATCCACAACACTAAACCTAATCTATCTTTTGACGAGTGATGTAAATGCTCATTATAAATCTAATAGCAATACATGTTACTTATATTACGAACTAAGTGCCTGTTCATATTTACTGAACTGAGCTGAACTGAACTAAAAAATTAAAATGCATAAAACTGAACTGAACTGAACTGAACTGATTAGAGTTGAACTGAACTGAACTGATTAGAGCTGAACTGAACTGAACTGAACTGATTGGAGCTGAACTGAACTGAAAATAAGTAAATATGAACAAGCCCTAATCTTATTATTTATCAAGTAATACTTGATTAATGGTGAGATTTTTATCAACCGTAAATTTGTATATTTGATACACTTATCTCCACTCCCTATTTTGTTATGGCCAACTCGACATACCCGATTTTGTTGCTTACTTGTAAGTTGTAAGACTTGTAACTATCACAGCAATATATTGCCAGAAATATCAAGGATTAGTTGGCCACAAACCACCAAAGTTGTACTCATATGACCACCAAATTCTTTTCCTACACTGTAAAAAAGATAAAAAATAAGTTGAAAAGGGCCAAAAACGATGGGCAGACAGTA